GTCTTTTGTGTTCTTTAAATCATCATCATGAACACCTATTGCATGCTACAGATGTCAGAGTAATGTTAAAGGTACTGCCTCAGAAAGGTACGGCAGCAAAAAGAAATTTCAAATACTATGTGGAAATATGAGGCTTTTGTTTCTTGTGTATTTTTTCCCCCCATAATAATTCTCTAAATGGTGAAATACTGTCACTGGATTTAGTGATAACAAATTAATCACACCACATATAAAACTGCACAGTGAGCTCAGTGGAATGATTGCAAGTTAAACCCTGACCCTTACTGTTGAACACATGTGGCAACATCCTATTTATTGTACTTACTGGATTGGCTTTATTAACTTTGTCCAGCAGCCTGACATAAATACCTGACCTTGACTTTTTAGTGAAACCAGTCAAGTGAACTTCCTTTTATGCACGTCCTAAAAGCTCTGCAGTCTCCATTGACAAATAACATGCTCAATTGTGGAAAGCTACTAAAGCTAACACCAGCTTTAAGCAACATCTGATATAGGTGGGGTACAGAAAAGGAGATGCATTTTCCACCATCTTGATGACTATGTTACAGAAATAAATCTAACATCTTAATGAGACAACTGTATATTTGACTTTTTTCTGCTTTTCTCCACATTGTTACCCTTTCATGTGTGTGTTATTATGAAAGACAGCTGTATGAGAACTTCACAGGAAAAATCGTCATCACAAAATTTATCGACTAAATGTAATAGTTAACCTAATTTCTTGCCTGCGTAGTGGAAAGACATCTGTTTGCTCTGTGTTGCTCCTAGACTAAGTGGACATCTATCACCACCTGCTGGAACTATCACTGTGAAATCATAGTCCACAGTGAGTGGACAACCTCCTATCCAATTTGCAAGATTTATTTATACAAGTTATATCTCGTTTGTATAAACAGCTGTCTAAAGTTAAGCTTAAGGTGGATGTAGCTATCTCCACCTTGCTTGGTGACTGAATCTACCTGTGGGTGCAAATAAAGTAACCTACCAGTATTCTGAAATGTAATCATTTTTATAGGGAATAGGGAATTTTGTATCAATCTAGTGATGTGCATTTGTATGTATTTGGTAGTTCTTATGTATTGTATTATAGCCATTTATACATTTACTTAAATTAATTACAAGTCATTCTGTTTTGAAGATGCATCCATTATTATCATTTCATTGGTTTTGTAAAGGTGGTGAAATTATTGCACGGTTAAGATGGGGCTTGGGCCCCAAAAAAGACCAGAGACAGCCCTGACAGCAAAGGTCAAACGAGGTAACCAAACAGGAAATTTACTTGAAACCATCTGGTCCAACCACTGATGGATGCATCACATTTTCTCCACTGGAAGGGCACCCTAGAGGCCCATTTACCATGTATCTTTGACTTTAATTTTACAGTTAAATGTGCAGCAAATTGACATGTTGCGGTAGAAGTGGTGTTTACACTGTAAAAGCAATGCAAATTAAAAATAAATTTACACAATTTTTATCTGTTAACCCATCACAAACCTAAAATACTCCAAAAATGCTCAAATGTTTTACACATTTATTTTGCAGTTTAATCAGTGTTGGAATGCAGCTAATTACATTTATTAAGTACTGCACTTAAGTACAAATTCAAGGTACTTGTTCTTTTAATATTTCCATTTAATCCAACTTTATACTTATATTCTACTACACCTCAGAGGAAAATATTATACTTTTTACTCCACTGCTTTGTCCTACTGCTTTAGTTACTTTTCAAATACCTCACCTTTCTGATTCAATGAAAACCATGTTTCTCCAAATTTGGTGCAGACCTATCAGGCCTTTGAAGCACTAAAACAAACATGACTGCATTGCTCTCGGCTATTTGACTGAGGTATTTTCATTGATACCAGTTCTCTGAATTTCCGTGCCATTTCCTTCTCTGTGCAGTGAAAAGCTAAGAAATCTAATATACAACTGAGAAATTAGTTGATCCTTTTCAATCATACTTCTCCATGTCAGCAAAGACATATGAAACATTTTGGGTTGGGTCAGCAGAAGGTACAGTATGAGGCCTGAAACTATATAACAATACAACAAAATGAAAATAGGTATAAAAGGTGTATATTCAATGATGTTCTTGAAGGTTGTCTGGAGGAAAACTGATGGCTGTTTGCAGCACTCCTTCCTTTTGGTCTATCTTTCTACTTTAATCTACAGTGCACATCAGGGCCTGGTGCATGATCTGTGGGAACTGATAGCCCATAATTGCGTAAAGGAAAAAGCCACAGACTCATTAGGGCTTCAAAGCTGTTTTTGATTTTCATTCTCAAGAAGGTTTAACACAATGCAGAACCTCTCACAAACACGTAGTAAGTTGCTATTAGTAAGATCCCAAAGATGTATTCAGCTGCTTTAGCTTGTTTGAGGTGTAATTTTATACTTCATGGACAATATAAACAACTACAATGAATAATGATGCATAATTTCCACATGAATTAGCTAGCAAACATTTCTGTGAACAAAACTTGCATAATAATAACAACAATAATAATAATAATAATAATAATAATAATAATAATAATATACACACAGACAGACTGATGCTAACATAATTCTCTGTACTATTGATGATGGTCCTTGAATGTATAATAATAATAATAACAACAATAGGGATTATTATCACTATTATTGATGTTGTTTACGTGTTTATTATTGCAGCAATGATAAAAACCAGAAGTTACAAATAGAACTTGATGGCAAATGTATTATGAAAGGTCATTTAAAAGTGGGTCATAAACCTAAAAATGTGGACCATCAACTCGGATTATTATTATCAGTATACGTTTACGTTTTTTTGTTAAATCGTTCTCAACCGGACGCAGCACGTTGCACAAACGTGCAGCCAAGACCCCTCATGACATGTTTCCACTGTTACATCATCCCAAAGATCAACACTTGAAGCAAGAGGATTCACATCTACCTACTTCCACTACCGTGTAATACCGGAAAGTCCAACTGTGGCACTTTTTTTCACATTTTTTTACCGTAAAATGTGAAAACATTAAGGCAGGGAGGGGTTATATAAAAGCGTAAATCAACGTAGCATTATTTGGGGACAGAGAAATAATGTCCCAGGCCGTTATGAGAGGGATTATTAGAGAGGTGTTAGTTTCCCTAGTTCCTCCGACAGTAAATGTAATGACGTAAAAATCAGCTGACAATGTGAAATAGCCTTTTTTGGTTTCATTGCGAAACAGACGACCCATTATTATTGGGCCGGGATTAATATCTCAAACTCACTCAGTCTTTGACTTTGCGAGGGGATTGTACAATTGATGCTGCGTTCACGACTCATCGGATTTACCATAACCATCTATTGCACTGTAACGTCAGTATAATCCGACCCCAATGATAATGGAATACGGTTCGGTTTTAAATTGCTCCTAGTGTTACACACAGTTCAGCTAAAGACAAGGTCAACAAAGTTACACAAAAATAGGTGACCAACAACATACAGTGTATATACAAGTCAGATGTTCCTGTAAAGTGTAAACAAACACGGATGAATGCACAGAAATAAATAGCCTATTGAATGAATATGGCCTACATGAAGTGGATGGTTATGTAGCCTATAGTGTATGCATGCATACATGTCTATATATAGTACAGGGCAACATGCAGGATTTATTGACCCTGATGGATAATATGGTCATATGTACAAGCACAGTGTGTATTCTAAACTAAATATATCATTTATTATTAGTAGGTAAGTGATGTTGCAGGCTCTCTTATGTTATGTCGTGTTTAACTTGAATAATGCATAAGCCACCTTTACCACCATGTAGCTAGCTAATGACTCATAGTTATTCAACAGACAAATCCACATAAGGGCACTCAAATATGTTTGCTTTTATGTTCAAGGATCTGTTCAAGGGTTTTTATATTCAGTAATCTAAATACCGTATTTATATTGGCTGTTAACTTAGTTTCCGTACTGACAAGCTCATTTGATCTATCTTTTAAATTCCATGCTCATTTAAAGGTCCAGTATTTAATATTTAGGAGGCTCTTTTGGCAGAAATTAAATATAATATTCAGAAATATGTTTTTATTAGAATATAATGACATGAATATAGGAATCATTACATTTTTGTTACCCTAAAATTAGCCGTTTTTATCTACTGATGCCGCCGGTCACCTTCCACGAAGTCCGCCATGTTGATCCGCCATGTTTCTACAGTAGCCCAGAATAGACAAACCAAACACTGCTTCTAGATAGGGGCATTTGTATTTTTGCGAGTTTCGCAGCCAAGGTAGTTTCTCCTACACACTCCAACACCTGTTCTCATTCACAGGTCATCAGATACAGACACACACGTTGTTCAGTGAGTTGCAATCTCCATCTTCACCTCGAGATGCCACTATTTGCCGTCTGTACTTCCTGAGAAGGCTGGGGTCCTTCAACATCTGTAAAAAAAACTGCTGCAGATGTTTTACCAGTCTGAAATGCTGTGACTTTCATTCATCGGTTGACAGCATAATTTCAGTTGCACATAGTTTACATTACCCTCTAAACACTTAATTTACCTGCATGTTTCATTTCTATTTTTCTAGTTTATTTTCTCTCTCAGCACATATTTAATTCCTCTGGAAAAGTTTAATTTATCCAAATTAA